TAACAACACACACAATCTAATTCAAGATAGTCGAAACAAGACACGGAACTTGATTGATATTTCATCAAAAAAATTTTGGATGGACTAGCATGTATCCCATACCGGAGGGCTATCGAACCCTACATTTTTTGATCCTATCCCGAACTTGGCCATAGGAAATATCTACTCCACAATTTGTGGAATATTGACATAAATAGTGACAACCTTGGCAATCCTTGGGATTATAGGAGCATACATCTTTCCTATTTTTTTAAAAATTATCTGTGCAAGTTGTAGCATGCGTTTACTTATTTTAATATACTCATAGTTTCCCATTCTTTTTTCTTCTTTAGGAAACGAGCACGTCTAATTTTGTGCCTTAAAATCGTCAACTTAAGAGTAGGTATGATGAACCATAAAGCAATTGAAAGAATGATAAAGAATACAAATAGTGAATATTAAAATTTATGTGGCTTAATTTAAATAATCCTACATTCAAAGTAGAGAAGAAAGGATCAGCTCCACGCGATGTTAAAGAGCCAAAATTATTGTGCACAATAAAGAAAACTTCTCAATAAAGAAGAAAAAAATCTAATAGGACTAAAAAGAGGGAAATAACTTGGGTGGATAATAATCAGAAAATTATCCACTTTACATATTACTCCAAAGACGTGATGATTTTGTTGAGATTATATTTTGAAATCTCAATAATAAACTTTATTTTCTCTCTTTCTTTCTCATTCCTTTCCCTCTTGCTTCTCCTTAATTTCTTCACAAAAAAATCAAGATTGTCTTACTATTCAACATTGTTTAAAATTGTCCAATAAGTCTGTGTCTCAACGCTATTCTATTGCAAATCATAATGAGGCGTACACCTCACCAATATTGAGGCACTTCTCAAGGCGTGCCTTGCCTTACGCATGGTGAGGCACTATTTTTTTTCTTAAATAAACCCTAAATATGGTAGCTCCAACTTGCACACAATCGCACTGTCTACTGACTCCATTGAAGGAAATCTGTGCATACCTCTTCAGTTGTTGCATCCGTCGTCCGTCGTCTTGTCTAACAGTGTCTTTGGTGTCCTCTAATGTCTTTTCCAATCTTCTTAGCAGCTGTCGTAGGTTCTTTGAAGCAGCAACAACTACCCCTTCTTGCATTTGCCCTTGTCGTCCTTCCTTGCACTTACCTTCACCACCCTTACAATCGCCTCTATCATCCCTCTTAGCCCTAGCCGGCCCCCTCCATTCTTTCAGTAGTTGTTTCCATTGCAATTCTTTTAGTTGTCATCGACGTTGCCAAACCTCATTGCTAGCCCTCCTTGTAGCCATTGTCATCATCGCCTTCGTCACTATCAACACATCATAATTTTTTTCTTTTTCTCTTGTGGCAATCACAAAAGTTTAAAATTTTTCCTAAATTTAATTAATTTAGTTTTTTTTTTTTTTAATCCCATAAAACTTTCATTCTAGGATTTTGGGGGAAAAAGGGTTCGAGGTAAAGATAGATCCATAAAGAGTCATAGGAAGGATCCATAGATGCAAATTGATATTCGATGCAACAACAAGACATGTTTATTTGAAGTGCAGTTATTATGAGTAGGTGGTTAAAAGGGATTTTACAAAGATGAAAGAATACCTCTTCAGTTTGCACAAAAAATATTGCATTCTATGCTAAAATACTAAAAAATAGTAGAAGAAGAAATTCGATCATCTATAAGTCGATGTCAAATCATCATGAACAATGATAATTTCATGATAGTTAATGTCAGATTTTTTTTATTGGAGTGAATGAAGTGACTGGCACCTGTCATGTTTTGTTATTAATATCTATTGGAGGTGTAAGAGGGCCCATAAACCACTATATGGTAAATATAGAGAATGATAGGGGTCATGGAAAGGGGCCGTTGTAGCTCCAAAGATATCTCTAGAGTATGTTAGAAAGGCACGCAAAGTCTTAGAAGTATGTTAGAGAGGCACACAAGCTTGTCTTGCATGGGTATTGAGATTTTTTTATGAGAATGTCATTCCATTTAATGTGACAACTTCGCCCCTTTTAATATAATTTGTTTGATGCGCTTATGGTCGAAACTTAAAACCGCTGTCTATGTATGATTTGGTGACAAGGATGTTCAAAGATTCAAGTTTTATAGAGAAAATTTTAGAAGATACTAAAAGGATTTGAATTCAAGCTGGAGTAATAATTATGTCTAATGACTAATTTCATATAAGTAATAAAAGTTTGATCAATATTATGATAAATAGTTTTAAAATTTGTTGAAACATTTGGTGGGGTGAAAGATGTAAAGTATATTTTTGTGCTGCATGTTGGAATGATAGATGAGATTGGACAGCATTTGGTGGTTCAGATTATGACAAATAATACTAGTGCTTATAAGACAGTTGAGAATAAGATGATGAAGAAGAAAAAATATTTTTATTGACAATACTTAAAAAGGCAAAACCGGGAATTGAGGCTTTTTTTCTAAGCATGGCGTAAGTCTTAGAACAAAAAAATAAAAAATTAATAAAATTAAACATTATTCAAAATATGACATTCGACAATCCACAAATCTTAATCATTAATGATTAAACTTAGAATTTAAATATGTCAATATACTTTACTTAATCACCCATACATATAGCATTCTTAAATATAATACAAAAGTTTGAAATAAGATTTAAACATTAAACTTAGAATTTAAATATGCCACAAGAATTACGATTCATAGTGGCTTCATTATCACTTTCATTATCTTCAGAGGAATCATCATATATAATAATTTTATCTTCTTCGGAAGAATCATCATAACAATTTCCACTTTACTTTTATTACTAATTATAGAAAATAGTTATTTACATGAATCCCATACAATTCATATATTTATTATTACGGTCAAAAAAGATCATTTATATGCATATCATATAATTTTTATGTTTATTGTTACTGTAAAAAATATTAATAATAAATAAACAATATCTGTGAGTTATGGCAAATAAGAGGAATCAGATGTACAAATGGACTTTGATGATCACTTACTCATTGTTGATAGAGCCGACGGGCTTCTGTGCTTTGAAGGGAATTCGACGCTCATTAGAGACGAAGCGAGCAAGAATTGTACTTGGACGCTCGACTCTACGTTCGGTATGTTTGATTGGACTCGTCGATGCTCAAAATGGAGAAGTGGATGCTATGCTCAGGATGCTCAATTGGGCTCATCGATGCTTAAATTTTAAATGTTGATTTATACAACACCTAAATTTTTAAAATTATATAAAAAATACCACTAATAACTTTTTCACAGCGAATATCCTTTTTATGCTTTTATTTTGATGTGATTATGCTCGAAAATTTTATATAAGTAAATATCAAAGTTTAGGTATTAGATACATAAATGTATAAAAATTGTGTAGTATGCTTGTCAATCCCTTAAAAAATATTTGTCGGTTGTTGCACAAATTTAAAATTTGTACAAATAGAAAGGTAGAGATAGAAAAATGTGTGAGAAAAGTTGAGGGGGATAGATTGAGAATAATTGATACTTTTTCTTTCCTTATCTCTCTTGTTAAACCGGTCTAGATTTGGGCATCACCTGATGGTACCTTTTGTCTTTGCTCTCTTGTTACACCACTGTCAAAATTTGCCCAACACCCGAGTATTTTCCTTTGTATCACCTTGATTTCAAAAATAGGTGCGTCTCTTTGTCAATTTCTATTTCTGTGATTCTCAGCATTTGAATGGTCTATTTAAGATTTATCCTAGAATTTTGCAAACGTACCAAACTTCACCATTCCAGCTTAGCTTCATGTAAATCTCCCAAGTTCAGAATGCTCAATATGGCCATAACAACCAAATTATAGGATTTCTTGTTTTGAAGTTGATCATTTTTTCATCTTATATTGCATTGCACAATGAACCATTGTGTATTTTTTGGATTTTTTTTTTGTCATATTCTGTGGTTAGGAAATTAAAGCTCATTTTTGTTGCCAGTACTTTGGAGAGTTTTAGAGAAGAAAGATGTAAGTCATTAAAGATATGTATACTAGATTTGTTACTTATGTTCGAACAGAAAGATGATTGATCAAGTATTTTCCTATCAGTTGGATTGCATCATGGATTGGCTTTAAGCCCTTATCTTTTTGCTTTAGTTATGGATGCTCTTACCGGGCCTTTACTGGAAGACGTTCCTTAGTGTATGTTTTTTGATGATGATATCCTTCTTGTGGATAAGACTAGAGAAAAAGTTTAAAAACAAAATGATTTATGGAGGTCTACATCAGAGTCTAAAGGCCTTCATTTGAGTAGAACAAAAACTAAATTCATGGAATTTAATTTTAATAGTAGTAGCTCTAGTGGCAGAGTTGTAACTATGGGTGATCAAATCATTAAAAGGTGTTATTAGTGATATAGATAGGGATGTTATTAGTAGAATTCAAGTTGGTTGGTTGAAGTGAAGGAATGCATCAAGCATATTGTGTGATAGAAATGTACTGCTTAGAGTGAATGAAAAATTTTAAAAGATGGTTGTGAGACTTGCAATGATCTATGGCGTAGAATGTTGGACTTTAAAAAAGAAGCATAAAATAAACTCAAGTGTTGTTGAGATGAGAATGGTTAGGTGGATGAGTGGCTTGACACATAGAGACAAAATGCGAAATAAATATATTCGTGATAGGGTTGGTGTAGCTACAGTGGTGGACAAGAGAGGGTCATCTGAGATGGTTTGGTCACATTAAACGTCGACCATTTGAAGATCCAGTTATGAGAGTAGATGTTTTAGATTCGACTTATATTAAGAATGACAGAGGTAAGACATAAAAAGACTTGGTCATATTGTATAAAAAATGATATTAATTTTTAGAATTAAATGAAAATATGACACTCAATAGGATGCAATGGAGAAAACGTATTCATGCACCCGACCCCACTCAGTGGGATAAAGGCTTGTTGTTGTTGTTATTGTTGTTTTGTTGCTAATACTTATATTGATTGAGCGGCGGCTAAACTTGTTTAATGTTATGTAGGTATCCAATCCCAAGGAAGGTGTGGGTATATATTCGATGCTTCAGTGCCAGGATATCATTGACAAAAGGATGGAAGAGCCACTACATGCAGGTGATGATATTTGTAAGTCTAAAAAATGGGACGAAAACTGTTGCACGGAATATGAAGGACATACAGATTTTGCATTCCAAAAAGGGCTCGGTGCCCGTCAGAATGGCTCATATTCTCATATTGTGAATATGGAGTTTTCATTGCGTGCAATATTACTCAAGTAAGTTCTGTGTTTTTCCCCCTTATCTACAGCAAATCGTTATCTTGTAGTAGTGACAATGATAGTATTCAATCTAACAACATTTGACTCTTTTTCAGACTTAAATGTATACCTATTTTGTTTATCTGTTTGTGCTCTGATCCATTCCACAGATTTTTATTTTTATTTATTTTTTATTTTTTATGTTGTAGATATCCAATTAACAGATATGTTACCGCCGCTGACAGAGAAATTCTCATGAAGGCTTTGGCTCGCCATCCTAGTTGCGATGCTAAAATTGGAAGTGGAGTTCAAGATATTATGGTATGAGTTAGAATTAAATAGAAATTCTGAGTCATTGTTATCAAGAATTGCTTTCGGTGTTATATATTGCTCAGCTAAATTTTCATCTACATCTTATGTAATGTTAGCATCAATCAACTTTTATTCTTCCCGATCAACTTCATTTTATTCGAGCTGCCTGCCTAATTTTTATGTTATGTTATGCTGGTGCATAGTGTGTACCTTACCATTTTGTTTAGGTTACATATTTTTCATAATTTCTCATTATTCTTTTCTTATTATATTTCATATCTATACCAATGATCTCATTTCTGCCACAACTGTTTTTATTGGTTTCCTTCCAACTTCATGGCAGTGAGAGCTCAATTTAGAAATTTTCTTTACAAACTTGTTTATATTAATGTTTCATTTATGGCTCCTTTCTCATCGTTCTCATGGTTTTTCTGAACTATCCATGCAAATAAGTTTTTTTTTTTTTTATATTTTATTTTTATTTCTTTTCTGAGGAACTGTCCAGCAATTTTTTTTGTTGAGTTCTCTATTCAAAGATGTGCTCCTAAATGTCAGGCGAAGGGAGGTTGAACCACCCAAAGGATCCAAGTCATCTGAAGCCAAATAATAAGATCCATTATTCTACAAGCTTGATAGAACCAAATATTTTGTTTACCATTGAATCTTCTATAGACGATGATTGACATCTTGGTGATCCTTTTTATCCTTACCTCCATATTTCTTCAACATTGTCTTGTTGGCTAAATGTAGTGTTGATAGGTTGTTGTCCGTCTTGCACCTATCTGGCACATCAGTCTTCTTGTCTCCTACAGATAACCACTTGTCTTTTGTACTGCCTAGCATATTTCTGAACCTAGGAGGTTGGTTGGATGTTCGCAGCCTAATTCCTGATTAGCCAATGAGACAATTTTATTGGAAACTACTAATTTGTTAGTTTGTTACACCTATGAGAACTAGAAATTTAATTGGAGAAAACCCTTACTACTTTGCTTTGAACTCATATTTACCCTCATGAGTTTGTTGACCATCTAAACCAGCATATTAAACTCACTTAACTAATACAACAAGCATAGTTTCTTATTTAACTCCCAATTCCCAATCAAACTTGATTGTATGGTGATTTCCATGGTGCTGTGTTGACCTCACTTTTGGTTGAGGTTTAGTTTTTCTTTTTCAGTAGCCTAGGGACTAGTCATAAGACTTTCCTGTTGACTATTTCTAGAAAACTAGAAAAGAAACTCTCGCCATTAGAAATTCTAAACTCTTCCTTGCTCCACTTGAAGTTCCATATACTGGTCTTAACCTGTAGCACTTAGTAGGTGGGGCACTATAGGGGAGCTCAAGAGAGTTCCCATAGGACTGCTTGACTTTAGGGCTGACTCTGGGTGTTGGTTAGCTAAGACCAGTACATAGAGGACTCAAATGGGGATTCCATTGGTCTATAGCTCACATATGGTGGTTGGCTTCCCAATTCTACCGAAAATACCCAACTTGGTCTTTTGCCATTAAACTCCCACAAATTACCTAAGTACCATTGAAATCCTAAATTTGGCAAAAATTTTCAAATTTACCCAAAATACCCAAATTTGTTCAAAAATCATTTCAAACTTTTTGAAAACATCCAAATTACCCAAAATCACAAAAAAAATTGTCAAATCATCAAAATGCCCTTCCTTAGCCCAAAATTTCAAAAATTTCAAAAAATCCCGAAAATTCCCAAAACCTTTCAAAAATTCTCAATTTCATTTTTCTCGACCCAATTTGCCCATTTGACCATTTTTTACCAAAACCCCAAAATTGCCTTTAAATGCCTAATTTCCCTAAATTCACCTCAAATGTCCATCAATTGGTCTCAATTTCTCTCAATTTCAGCTCTAAACTCAAATTCATCTTTCATACGATCAATTCAAACCAAATTCAAACCTAATTGACCCATAATTTAACAACATTGCCCAGTATTTGAAACCACAATTTGGCAATGTTTTCGAATATCATCCAAATTGAATGCCCTAACCCCAAAATTGACACCCAATTGATGTTGGAAACTCTTCATGACATTCTCATAGACCATTTTCAACCATTAATTTGGAATTTGCCTAACCTTAGCCCAACCTAGACTCGAGTCTAACCCAACATAGATGTCCAAATTCTTCAAATTGTTCAAATCAATTTAAAATCACTTCAAATCTTTTCTAAACATCTCACGACAATCGTCCACACAATCTTGATCAATCAATTAATCTCGAACCAAAATTTTGATGAAAATCAAATTTTGACGCATTTTTGACCCGATCGTCGACGAAGTTGTCTGGAAGACCCCAGATGATGAAACGGACCGCGCCGACGCGTCCGGAACGTCGAAATTACCTAGGGAGGACACCTATTTTGATGTGATTTCGTGCACGCACGAATTGGAGAATTTTGAATATTAAAAATTTATAAAATAAAAAAATATTCTTTTTTCACATAAATCCCTAAATCCCTAAGCTAGCTCACGCCTCTTGTCCCTTCCCATTCACAAACTGCTGCATCCCTCCCTTTCTGTTGCGCCAGGTTGCTCTCGAATCTCCTCTATCGCACACAAGATCTTCTCCATCATGAGCCCTCCCTTCTCCTTCCTCGCGAAGCTTCGGCCGAGGTCCCTCTCTGGCTTCCATCCCATCTCACGCCACAACCAAAGCACCTACCTCCTGCTAAAGCACCTACCTCCTGCAAATCCCCTTCACTAAACATTGTGTTTTTCCCTCCGATTTCCTATTTGGGTAAGCTCCCCAACCAAGGCACTCGATGCCCTGCCTCTGCACAGCCGCCCTACCTCACCTCACGGCAACAGGCTCCGCCTCGTGTTCGGCTCACCCATGGGTGAGTCCAGGTTGGCCCCTCCCTTCCTATTTTGCTATAAAATTCCCATTTGGGGAGTTCCTTAAGGCAGGCTGAATTCTTCTTTGAGAGGGGCAGGTTCTGCCGAATTTTTCTTTGAGTTCGCGAGCTTCTGTTGGTTGTGTGTTGTTGCCTGAGAGCTCTTAAATCAAAAGCTTCTGTGCTCGTTCTTTTCTGGTTTGTTCAGGAGGTAACACTCTTTTATTTTCCACCACCTGCTTCTTCCCACAACTTCATATGCATATCTTAACAACATTACCCAGTATTTGAAAAAAAAAAAAAAAGGAAAGTTTGCTTGGGGGTTTAATATTTCAGCATACATTTATTGTGTTATTGAGACCTTTTCATCCTCTTCCCTTCACTTGGTTGATTTACAAATCTTCTTCCGTTTGTTGGGTTTGATACAATGTTAACAGTTTCTTTCATTTGATGATTGTAAAGTTCTTTAAGAGATTATAAAGGGATTTTTCTAAGAAGGTGAGGTAAATATGCTATTTTATGCTGTTGCTCCTCAGATTCTAATATTTTCGATTCATACTTACCACTCAATTTCTCTCAGATTCTAATATTTTGAGATTATGAAGGGATTTTTCTAAGAAGGTGAGGAAAATATGCTATTTTATGCTGTTGCTCCTCAGATTCTAATATTTTCGATTCATACTTTCCACTCACTTTCTCATATATTTACATGGCTAACATCTTGAATGGTTCCAATTATTTGCTTTGGGAGTCTCATTTGCGAAAATTTGAGATGTTTGGTTGCATTTTGAAAATCGAGAAAGATTTATTCATCGTTTTGAATTGTTGGAGGACTTTGTTGCCTTGCATCTTGAAAATATGAAAGGATTCATTTATCATTTGCAATTTTCGGATTTTAAAAATATTTACATATATAACATCCAAATTTTTAAAATAGGTGTGCGGATTTTTTAATTCATATGTGTTTACATATCTAGCACCCCAAATTTCTTCCTTTCTACCTCTACACCACCCAAATCTTAAAAAGTATGAGAATTAGGTGGTATGTTTGTAAATATTATTTTCCTAGCAGCATTTGTTTGTTGTCCATAGCCTCTCCATTTCAGGAAGGATGTCTGAGGCTATTAAAAATTTGAGATACCTTCGATATTTGAATCTTACTTTAGATCTCACTCAGATGTCAAGATCTATAAACAATCTTTATCATCTACGGTTCATAATCTATAAAATGTGGTTGGGGGATCTTGCTTTTATGATTTCTTGCCTGGCGATATGAGTAATCTTTCCCATCTGCGTCACTTGGGATTGCCCCGAAATGCATTTTTTAGTATACCTGGAATTGGGAAATTAAGGTCACTTAAAGAACTAAATGAGTTTAATGTTAAGAATGAGAGTGGTTATAGGATTGAGGCGTTGGACATATGAGTGAGTTATGCAAAATAAAAAAATACTTTTTCTGGAAATGTGAGGGAGGCTAGAGAGGCTTGCAATGCAAAATTATTTGAGAAGTGAAAACTCAGATTTATTCTTGAATTGGGGCAAAACTATTGACGGATGGGAATCATACATGGGAGTTGAAAGCCTACACATCACACAATTCTTATGTATTTGCATGTCTGACACCCAAAGCATGACATTTACATTTATAACACCCTTCTTTTGGTCATAAGCCTGTGCGTGGGAAGACGATTTTATTTTTAGGTGCTGAATATGTAAATGCATGAGAATGTAAGTGTTATGTATGTAAATACATAGGAATTTAGTGCTTTGCTTGAAGGATTTAAAAATCTGAAAGTTTGTGTGTTTTATCTGTAAAAAAAAAATTTGGACGTTTAGGCTTGCTCATTTGTAAAAGTTTGAAAGCTTCGGTGCTCATATTTTGCAAAATCTGAAAAGTGGAGGTTTTTCTCTTTTTTTTTTGGAAATGTGAGAGGTTTTTGCGGCATGTTGGTTACCCGGTTTTGGGGCTTGCGTGGCCCGGTTTTTGGCCTATTGATTGGGGCTCGGTTTTGGCTTCATTGACCCTATCCTTGAGTAGGTTGAGGAGCTCAGGTTTTGCCTCATGAGGGGCTGCGGTTTTGCCATGTAATGGCTTGGTTTTGAGTATGTCTTGGGCTCGGTTTTCCTTGGCTTGACTGGTTCTTGTTCTT